CGGCGGGTTTGCGATCATCGCAAGTACGATCTGCCTGTCCAAGATAGGCAGATCGTATGTTTTTTTAATTACCTTACAACCATCGCAAGACAAATGTCTTGAGATGGTTGTAAGGTGTGTGCCCAGCCTTAGACACCAATCATGATGGAATGGATACCTGCAGCTAAGGAATTAGATTAGTTATCTAATCCATTTAATTATATTTAAGTATTTCAGTTATTAACAAATAGGCATTGGATGCTATTATTAATTCTCTGCATGGCTCGCCATTACTGGTATGTAGAGGTTGAACATGTGCTAAAAAAGGTTGAATAGGACTACTCTATACATTCAGTGCCTCTAGTCTTCATAAATGGACTCCAAAGTGTGTTGCAGACCTCTATTTGATCATGTCTTTACAGGTCTTTACATTACACAGAACTGACACAGAGCATATTGATCTTTCTGTGCTACACTGCACAAAAGGACTTTACCAAAGCAAATGGCAGGATAGTGATAAGGAAAAAAACCATCCGGTTCTCTGTTGTCTTACCATCTCAATGTAAAGCCTGTGCACTTATTTACCATTTTACTAGCACAAGCAGTCAAAATGTCATGGCTCAGGCTTTTATTAATCAAGATAATTGAACAAACCTTTAAACCACTAGAGTGCCCTTGTTTTATTAATCATGAAGAGTCATACATGCAAAACATAAATTAATGTAAAAATTCAATTCATTTTGTTCATATAATTTGCATTTAGATGATTGCTGCAATGTTTCAAGAAATGGCAAATCTCAGTATATGGTTTAAAAAATAGCTTACATCCTTAAAAGAGTTAAATGCATACTGTGAAATGTCAATATGGAGTGAGATAAGCATGTATCCTTGGAAAGTGCTGGATTTTATGCTTGCAGCCAGATGTGATCTGTCATCATTTTCACATAATTCATGTTTATACACTACATTATAATGTAAAAATGAGAATTACACATGCACATATATTGTTAGTTGGTATGGGGCTGGTATGTTTGTCTCCTATTATTATAGGTTAGGGGGGAACTTATGTGTCACATCTGGGTAGCCCAGTGTACCTCAAGGTCCTTCTGCCGTGGTGGCAGGTAAGACTTGCAGTCTTTCCATTCACAGATCTGTGATCTGCTCCACAGCCATGCTGAACTAAAAAAATCAACAGAATACACCAGGAAA